TGTGGTCACAGCCAGGAATAATTAGTGGTATTCTGCAGGTTTCTGGACGTTGGCCAGTACCTGGCATTTCATCTGCCACTGTGAGCTAAACATATACTGGGTTCAAATAAGCTGAAATTGGCAATAGACGTGCAAGGTTTCACGGTGAATTCTTCTCGCGTATCGTTTTTCCCTCCCATGTCTTTAAGTCGCTTGCTCTAAGCCCTCTTTTCTCTCTTTCTCCCCTTGTTTTGTTATTTTACCTGGAGGTGCAGGTGTGAAAGGGTGAGGCCGTGGAAAAACATTCGATTCCGTAAGCTTGTCATGAAGGAATCCATTGACTGACCTCTGCATCTTGGCACACAATGACAAATGGGTTTGCAATTTTCCGCCTGACTGAGGGGCAACAAAGCACATTTCCACTTTCACCGGTAAGCAGTGAGAGTACAGTCTTTCTCTATCGTGCTCTTCAACCTGGCAGCGAGCATTACACACATAGCTGGACTCTTTACTTTGGCTGCTTGCAGCTCTCACGGTCAAAATAGACAATTACACTTGGTATGATCTATCAGGACACACTGACTCCACACAGTGAGGTAATCTGTTGATGAAAAAAGGAAGACTTTTTTTTCTTGCATCATATTTTTCAGGACAACTCCTTAATTGAGAAAATCTTTTATCTTTCAAGTAAAACATACTAAAGAGTTTCTTTCTTTTTCTTTTTGCATCACTGATTCGACATCATCTTTAAGATTTTAATGTAGATATTTTGCCTATTCATTGGTTTTTAGGTGCATTAGTTATGATAAGTATTTGTGAATTGATCAATTACATATATTGTTATATTATATTTAGTGACTAAAGGTGGGCTGCAGAGCTGCATTCATTTTGTGTTAGTGTTAGCTTTCATTTGTTGTCTGCTTCAAGTGACTTTTGTCTCTTTTGTTAGTTATTCACTGGGCAGGGACTAACAACTGTTCTTATCAATAAAATCATTTCATGGAACCTTTATTGTGACATGTTCTCATCCCATCTTTTCTATGTACATGTGTGAAAATGTGTTTGTGTTGTGTGATCCCATTTCAAATTTGTTTAGCACATCAATTATGGTGTCTATTTGTGTTTTATAAAGCCAGTATATGAGATGCTAATATGTAAATACGTCTGTCATCTCCCCATAATCACGTTTTCCGCTTCTTTTTCTTTCAATTATGCACAAGTGAGTATTATATCCATTAAGTGTTAATACCTTTCAGCCCTGAAAAACCTTATATGTCAGAGTATTGTCTAGCTGCACATTGTTTATGTTGCACTTCCCTGTGGGGTACATCCATCTTGTTTATGAGTATGCTGCATCGCTAACGACGGCTGGTAATTCCACGCTGTTTTCACTGCTGATTGAATTGCTTCCAAAGCCTACAAGAATGTTTAAAGTAGAAGCTATGGAAATGAACCAATTGACCTTTTTTCTGACCCTAAAGATCTCCACGCCCTGCGGGAGCAGAAACTGTCAGGCGGCACCAGAGTCGGGAAATCAAAGGGATCTATGCTGTTGTTAGAGACCTACTGCCACTCCTCCAGCATGGCCCCCACATATGTAAGAATATCAAACTATTTATAGAACATGTCGGATGACTTTATGGCCTTTCTTGGCTTGATTGCTACCAAAATATAACCAGTGAACTAAAACAGAGATTTGTGTGCATGTTGTTTGTGCCCTGACGGGGCAGTCCGGCCGAGCAGCCCAGCAGGGCGTTTATGTCCTGTAGGGATAACCTGTCATGGCGCTGAGAGCCTAATTGATGCCTCATGCTTTTCAGGGGGCAATTATAGCGCCCAAATGTCAAGACCTAATTTGTGACTCTGTAATGTGGACACATGGGCCAGAGGAAGGGGTGACATGGCTGCTCCGGAGGGACTCACATTGGTTTGGTCAGCAGATGTGAGGTGCTGGGGGGGGAGATAAATGATATTTACAATGTAGACAATGCTTCTTTATTTTTTGTGTATATTTACTTGGATTCGCTTCATCAGTTAAAAGAACAACCAAGAAACCTCCAGCATTCAAAGTTAGAATATTTGTATTGTCAGAAAAATGTAGTGACCTATCAAATGTAAAAATACCCATTATGCAAATATATATATATATATATATATATATATATATATATATATATATATAGAATATTGTTATATTAACAATGGATCAAATGACTACGTATAATGCAATACCCTTTAAGTAATACTTAAGTAGCGTAAATATACTACCAGAGTATATTTTTGTGACCGAACACACTTTCTGTGGTTAGTGTTTCAATAAATTGAATATTGATAAGAAGATAAAAGATAAATGTTTTCTTGTTTTATTGACCAAGAACTTCACAGTTAGATAGAAAATATACCTTCATTTGAAACAAAACACTGTCAAAAAGCTGTTATGTAGTGTATCACAGTATGACTATATATAACTTCAGTCATGTTCCATTTACCGCCGGTCTCTGTGTGCTGCATTAGATGCTTCAGATGCCTCCTCCAGATACTGTGTGGTCCCATCCCTTTAGTTAAACAAAAGCAGTCTCTGGCAGGGCCTGCAAACGCACCGCGGTGTTCTTCACTATGTGTGCTTTGTTAGAACTGAGAGACTAAACTCTGAGGAAATGACAGTTCCCCTTCTTTTTGTTCCCCACAACACCTATACATTGCTGTCTACTAAAGTCTCCATGGTGATGCAAACAGAGGAGCATATTTTCCACTGGAGCTGACAGCTTGCGATGCGGAGTGTCAGTAAATCAGGTATGCTGCTCTAATTGCCGCTTGCGGAAGGTCGACCGCAAAATCCTCTCAGCTAAGACACTAAAAATGATTGAGCACAACCGGAGTACAATGCAGCGAGTGTGGAAGACGTTTTTTGTTTCCGGGGCCGCAAAGCTGATATTGAATGACGTTTGGGACCCCTGGCTGCAGGTTTGACCAGAAGGCCTCTCTCTCTCTCTCTCTCTCTCTCTCTCTCTCTCTCTCTCCCTCTCTCTCTCTCTCTCTCTCTGGACTCGGATGAAAGCCCAAAAGTATCAAGTGGATAACGCTATACTTACACTTCTGCTGTAATCCCTATAAACACACATGCAGCTCATAATTTGTGCGCACAGCAATTTACTAAGGAATAAACAAACAACAAAGAGCCTGAAATCAATAGTTGCAGGATTCAAATGACACAAAGCTGCAGAGAACATCCCTGCGCAAACACACTCTTAGAAGTGGCCTCGGCTTTGGAGCAACAGGTGAGCTTCTCGGCAACTCCCCTGTCTTCCCCAACGCAGCCTTCTAAATATAGAAATTATGCTCTCTGATAATTGGGGGCAGACAACAAAGCCGGCTATATTTCCACCCTCCTCCTCCTCCTCCTCCTCCTGCTGCTGCTGCTGCTAAGTCATATCCCCAGCTGACAAACAGCAGGCCTGAGATCAGAGTGTGAGAGCTTGAGTGCTGAGGGAACACCTGCGCTGTCTGACTGGACGGTGAGGATAGACACAGAAGATCACTGACTTCCACACCTGCCCGTGGACCCATGCCATACACACACACACACACACTTGATTGGGTTTCCTCGAGAGCCCTTTAAGGCCGCCGCTGAGGAGGTGATGAAAGTCAGGGAGCGTCCGTTAAGCGTGTGAGACGGCCCTCCAGAGTGGGTGCGGATGAGGGGTTTAAGTGTTTTCAGCGTGTAGCTGCGGACCACCTGGAGGAAGGAGGGGTAGGAGGAACAAAAGCATCTGTCTCAGGGCCAGTAGACTCCAAAGACATCGGTTAAACAAGTGCCAAGGAGCACTTCTGGGCGTCAGGTATCACAAGTCAGGATTTCCAGCGTGTTTGGAGGGATGAACTTCAAAATGTCAAAAGGGGGGAGAGCTGTTACGCTGTTAGATTTGTACAAGGTCTTCTTTTCATGGGCACAACGAGGGGTGATGGCAAAGTGCCCTGCACTGAGACTGACGACGCTGCCGGCCAAAGTCATGGACAAACTACCGCAGCACCATGCTCTCTATAGCTCGGCAAGATGGGATGGGACAGGAATGAAACGCGCCCCGGTCCATCAGTTTCACGCCTGTTAACCTTTCTAGGAAGCTAAAGAAAGACGAGCGAGTGACAGCATCTTTCCGAAAACAAGCACCAGACTCCTCTTTCATGTTGAAATAGGCTTGTGTGTGTTCACCCGGTGGGGGGGAGGGTGTCCACGAGCACGCAGCTTATAATACACTCCGGGGGTGCTGTCATTAATCGACGACAGAAGCGCGTTGATGTTCCAGGGCGTGCAGGTGGGAAAGTCCCACAGTATCACACTGCAGACAGGAGAGAGTTGGCAGCCGGGTTGGCTCCCCGCATGGAGACACCCCCACTGGCTCGCCATCACACACACACTGAGATCACAGGCCGAGCTTTCATGCTTCGACACAGACCCCCCCCCCCCCCACTCCCCCCCCTCTCCAGCCGTGGAGGAAACAGATATGCAACAGTGGCTTTTTCAGAAAATAATAATTCAGCTGATTTGCACCGCCTCATTCCAACTGCAACATACTTTTGTTGCTCTTTTGTTGTTGGGACAGTAAAACAATCTCACATCTTTAACACAATGAAACAGACGCTATCTGAAAGCATGAGAATAAGGCGTGCATGTCTTGTTTTATAAGACATTTAAACAAGTCTATCATCCTCAAGCAGAGGTCACGTAATCCTTATCGCTCTGACCTCCACACAAAGTTGCCGTGCCCGAGATAAAGGTCGGATTTTATTTGGCCCTGATCGTGTTGTTGCATGGCCTCTATATTCAGAGGATTCTGGACGGAGGCTTTGAAGTTTTACGTGCGCATCAATTCTACGACCCCTCTCTCGGCATAATGGCGTCCATAAAGAAAGACAACATTGGTCTCGTAAGCGGGTTTATATGTTTAAACTCTGAAAGACCAAGGCAACCGATAAAGTCAACTTTTCAAATTATTGCTTTGTTAAAAGTAGAAATGTGGGTTCTTTAAAAATAAACATTGGTTATACATTCATCTCTGATCATGTAGGCTGACAAAAAATAAAGCATTTTGATCACATTTTGAGCAATTTATTGGTTGTGTTGTCAGTTTGTTGACTTCAGATTCCTCCTGTAACACAAGTGACAGTTGTTTGGTGCGAATTAATATGCCATCATAACAAAGATTCTTTAAAAATTGATTCACAGTTGCCATATTTCGATAAAATAGATTCCTCAGATCTTTTCTAAATGTTGCCAGTATGTTTCATTTTTTGGTCATATTACAGTTTATCACAAGCAGAGCTTTTTTTCAGAGTAAAAGACATAATGGTACAGTGTCTCAGTCTTTATATAATCGATACAGTCTCTAGTGGTTTTTCTATAGTGGGTTTATCTAACTGTAAAAAATATATTCTCAAATAAATAAATATAAAACATAAATATATGTATCTAGAATGAATAAATAAATTGTTACATCTTTTCAAACAGGTCTGGACACAGGTAAGAAAACCAAAAAACTGAATTCCTTCAAAGTCCTTCTGAACAAACTGCAGCTTTCTGACACAAAACCCAAATTAAAAGTACCATTTGAGTACAGCAGTAAAGATTCCCATGGACTCCGCTGATGTCCCCATCTGACCAGAGGAGATGCTCCCTGGTCGCTCAGCTCCGTTTCCTGTTCCTCTCCTATTCCACGTGGGTACTTTTTAGATTCGTCTGAAACAAACAGTCCCCTCATGCCGAGCGTGCAGACATTCTAGCCCGCCTTCCTGGCTGCTGAGAGATGGCCCATGCATTCCTGCAAGAGGCCCCGGTGCCTTTATCCCTGCAGGTCGGGGCTGCTGTCCGCCAGCCTGCACGGGCCACGTCCCCGCCCGCGTCCCTCGTCTCGTCTCTGCTCCCTGCCCGCAAGGGCTTAAGCAGCTATTCCTGAACTGGACCGGGCCTCCAGGTCTCAGCTGTGTCCCAGGATATCCCTGTACAGCTCTGGCACACGGTCGGGGTCCACAGGCCTGGGCAAGAAGTGTGTAAATTTCTGGTGCCGCCTGGATTTAGTCCCGTCCCTTGGTGTCCCGTCTTTGTTCAACGCCACAAAATAACGTGTTCCTTTGTCTCCGTGTTTGTAAAGGTTGGAGGAGTATGTGTTGTACCAGTTCTCCTCAAACTGCTCCTTGAAGACACACTCGGCTGTGAGTTTCTCCTGAAAACAAAAGGGCACAACATTAAAAGTAGTCCTGACTTGTGATGCAGAAACAGATAAAACATATTTAAGACACGTTTATATATTTTTCTAAAATGTATTTTCTTGAAAATCTAATTCTCAAAATATGAGAACTGAATAAAAGCCTTGTCGGTCATCATCACATGGTCAAAAATGAGGATTTGGGCGACATGAATAAGCAAAGCTGGTACTTACAGAGCCATACAGCTCTCCTTTGTCGTTCATCCCCAGATAGAGTCCACTGTCCACACCCCTAATGCTTATCAACCCAACAGCAAGGCTTATAAATTCCAAAATACCTGGAAAAGACAAACACAGTTGTTCAGTACGGACTTTGACAAAGATAAAAGAATATTAATAAAGTATATTAAAAAAATAAAATTAAATCTATTGACACAATCTATACATTTGATGTTTTAAAATTAACAGAATAATATCATAAAATTGTTATTTTCATCATTCTTATTCACTCTTTCATTGTTGCTGATTCTTTCGACAATTGCTTTATTATAAAAGTTGGCCAATATATTGCTTCATATTGTATATTTATATATCTAAATACATGAAAAGTACGCCTCGGTGTTTACCGTAACGACTGTGGTCCTTCCTCGTCCCTTGCACCGTGCCGTCCGGAAGTATTTCCAGATGAAACCCGGTTCTGCAGTACAACTGTCTCCTCCTGAGGATCCCTTTGAGGTGCGTTAAGTCCGCCGCGGTGCTCCGGGAGAGCCTGTCCCCAGGTATGAGGTGCTCCCCGAGAAGCGTCGGACTGTCTCCGAGTGGGGTCAGGAGGAAATGAGACCCGACCTGCGCGACACCATCGATGCCGTGCAAGACGCCTCCAACTTCCCCCAAAACAGCAGCAGCCATCGCGTTAAAAGCTCAGCGGGTAAAGTTCAGCGAGGAGGTCCGGAGGGAGCGCTCTTGCGTAGTGGACTACCTGGTTGCCACTGTCACTTATTGCATGTTTACTTCCACCTTACTTAGCGCGTGTACCCGTTTGCACACGCGGACGCGCGGATTTCTCTCCCCTGACATGAAACGCTCGCCACTGTTTGCCTGCACCAATTTCTCGTCTCCCTTTTTCTTGTTTTCTTATTTTACCGCTGCGTCTTCATCAGCTGGGGGTCGGGTGGGCTCCAGTTACTGCTCAGATAGCCCTCACGTTGCATACCTGTTCGCGGCGTGCTGCCTCGGTGGAGCCGTGGAGGACAGACCCGGCAGGAGAGGACTCAGTAGTTAAGTGCGGAATAAACGCTGCAGTGCAGGTAAAAAGCAGCTCCTGGAGGGGTTTTGCGCTTAAAGTGGCAAGGGGTGGCGAGGCAGGTGCAAAACCACAGGACTAGTAATGGGCGGGGCTGTCACAGTCCAGACGTGCCCTGGCAAGGATTTGTTTTTCCTTCTCCCGGGGCATAAAATAAGAGAAACAGGGAGAGAGAGAGAGTTGATGGTGGTGCTGTGGTGAACTGAGCACCTGCTTTACTTTAAATTAAAAGAAAACATATACACACAAAACTATGACACTTTATGTCAAGTACGTCAGTGTGTGTTTCTATATATGCTTGTGCGACGATTTCAACATTTCCTTCACTCTCACGAATGCGACGCCCCGTAATCCCAGAGGGACTTGAAATACCCACGGCATGTCTCGCGAGCTCGGAGCAGCAGGCGGCTCGAGCTGCTCTGCTCTGCTCTTTGCTGTGTGTGTGTGTGTGTGTGTGTGTGTGTGTTCAGTTACGACACCTCAGTGTAAACAGTCATGGCTGCCCTGCGCAGGCTTATCCCTCTGCTCACTAACACCTTAAGAGCAGGGACGCTCGTGGCTCGGGGACAACACACATCCTCGAGGGCGACGACAACGCTGAAAGTTGTCGCGGCTGGAGCGTGCGTCACCGCCGCGGCCGGAGCTGCCTATTATTATCGCCGCTGCTCGCTCGTCGGTAAACGCTCCGGGTTGAAGAGCCATGTCGAGGCTCGACTGTTGCATCTCGCGCTGCCATCAGTTTCTGCCACCGATAAGGTACAGTGGGACCTTTGTCAAGCCGCGCGGCTTTATAGTGAGAACGTTCAGCTCACGTGGCCTGTACTGTGGTGAGAAACGCTTCACTTTTTAATTTCCTATATCATTTTTTCATCTTAACATAACGAACGGAGCATCTGCATTTCCAACTGCATTGAGATCATATCGTGCACGTGAAAACTACAATAACGCTAATGTGTCGTCAACATAAGGAGCTGTCCCCGACCTTTGGTGCTGAAACGGCAAAAACGGTCAGAGGCGGTTCTTAGATCACGTGACCTAATTGCTGCCATAAGTGAACGTTTTGTCTGCTTTTTCTGAATACATGTCGCATAAATAGTATTTACAGTATTAAAATTAAGACAAAATAGATATAGATGCAGTCTCTCTCTATATATATACTGTATGTGCATCTATATATGCTATTTCAGAGCAACGATTAGTCAAATAATCTACCAATAAGCAACTTTTTGGTAAATTGATTAATCATTTAAGTCGTTCCAGCTTCTTTTCTGTGTTTGATGTAATGTAAAAAATAAACAAGGAGTTTTTGGCACAACATCACGTACTTACAATTAAATGAATTAATAAAAATAATATTATGGATTAATCAGAAATAAAAAATAACTATTAGCTGCCACCCTGGATACCAGGAAATATGGGCATGTTTTCTTGATCAATTGATTTTTCAAAGTGTCGTTGATACATTTCTTTCAATTTATTAATCAATTACTTAACTAATCATTCTAACACTAGTTTGCAGGTTTTGCATCATTATCATAATTATTTGCCCTCTATCAGATGTTAAAGTTACAAGATACAATGTGTATCTGCTCCTTGATAGCTTACACACCAGCTCTAGCAAGTATCTTCAGCTCAGCCATGTGCTGACCTTGTTGACAGGATTTTAATAGATCACAGGAGACGTGAACGAACAAGTAAACATGGGCTGGTTTGCACACCTCTACCAGAAGACTCTTTGTTTCGTATGTGTGGGTTGGAGGGAGGCCCGCTCGACTGGTGGCCACAGGCCGCAGGAATCCATGGACAGAGGAAACTGGGACTCGGCGGAGGGGCTGACATCTGATGAGAGGTGGGGGTGGTTAGAGGGGGGTTAATGGTTAAGCAGAGGGGGGCACACATTCCCTGGGTGTTTGCTCTGTGCCCAGTGGACCTGGCACTGTGCCACGTGACAGAGAGATCCACTCTGTCTTCACCAATCCAGCCTTCTGATCTGGCTGGGTTTGAACAGTTGTAGGGACATTATCTGGTGCATGGGGATGACAAATATGGCTGACATAACATGCGCCCCATTACTGAATTAAAGCACGGGCCTCTTTGTTGTTCCATGTGAGCGAGGCTTTCCGTGACTAGAAGAGCTGCCGTGGATTTCATAAAATACATCTTTCAGACGGTGTTATCACTGTTGATATGATTTGAAATATTGCCTGTGTGTGTGTGTGTGTGTGTGTGTGTGTGTGTGTGTGTGTGTTTTCAGGCTCGGACCTATGGTCTGGACGATGGAGATGTGTACATGTCGTCCTATGAAAACAGATTCCGCCTCTTCAGTTCGGTGGAGCACGAGGGCCAGCTCTACATGACACCACTCAGCTTCATAGAGTCCGTGACTATGAATGAACCCAAGAGTGAGTGCTCATGGTATCCTTCCCATAATACTAAACATCCTCGAGTCTAGAGGAAGGGAGGAATCATTACTGACGTTCGTGTTTCACAATTTATCAATTAATCTATTGACAGAAAATGAATTAACAACAGATTTGACAATCAATTCATTGAACTAAAATGTGACGGTTTGCTCGTTTTCTCTCTCGTTGTTGTAAATTGAACGTTTTTGTGACTTTGGACCGGTGATCTGACATAAACAACTTGATAACGTCAACATGGGCTTTCTGAGGGATATTAATATATTATTATATTTTCGGGAGTTAATAGCTATATATTTAAACCCTGATTTCTCTTGTTGCAACAAAAGTTCTTGACTTCCTAAGAAGGTTCCTGGAAAAGTTGCTTCGTGGAACCGGGCCAATTCAGTTTGTCTAAAAAGGCAGAGGACACAGTCTCTGATGTGATTACATTACTTCAAGACTTAAGTTTCATTTATTTTTCTTTTCAGAGTGCTATCAATGTTTTTTTAAGGGAAGGTCGCAGTTTCCTTCATGAAGACTGCCAGTGTGCTGCACTGCAGATGCTACACTGCCTCTGTAAATTAGCCACATTTGTCAGCAACCATTTACTTGATTACACCTCCATCAAGTCATCAGATAAATCCCCTTCATCCGCCAATTACTTGAGATCGGAAAAATGAATAAAAGCCCTCGTGTTTTTCTCCTGGAACGTTACTTGTTGCTGAGGGAGGGCCTGTAAGTGTCATCATCAGACAATAAGTTGCGGCTTGCAGAGCCTCAGTCATAACACCTGCATAAAGATAGGCATCTTTCCCAGCAACCCCACTTTTATGGCTCATTTATGTGGCAACAAACTCGCAGAGACCCAGAGAGACCAAACAACTGAGCATGGATGTCATAAATGTAACGATAAGACATTCGCATCACTGCGATTGATTATGGTGTGAGGCGTGTGTGTGTGTGTGGCCTGCTGTCAAGTTTTGGACATGTCTTCACTGGCATCTAATGAGGGCGGTAAATAAGGGGCACTAATGTGTTAACATACCGCATGCCATTGTTCTCTAATGCGTTGCAAAATAGCCGTCATGGTGTTTTATGGTTATACTGTGGCTGTAAAAAGAGATGTGTTTCTGAGAGGATGGTGGAGTTCTGGCCGTTTAGAAGTGAACCATTAGAGTCAAAACCTAAAGTGCTGTCATGTAAATTATTCATATCAGATCCACGAGGTATGTTTTTAATAAGTGAAATGAAGAAATACATGCTCCCAATGAGGACAAAAGCTCTCAAACTGCTCAGAGGAAGCCATCACTTGGCAATCATAATCCCAGTTTTTAACGCAGGCTCAAAAATGTGTCAGTGGGGGGTTATTGTCACTGTTATCGATGCAGTTTCCCGGACAGTTTTTCTTTTTTTTTCTTCTCCCTTTTACAACACCTCCATCTTATCTTCCGCTTTATTGACCATCGGAATGCGTTCAGGGAGACGTCTGTCCACATGAACACCCGTTTTCACTTTTGTTTCCCGGTTCTATATTCTTAATGTAGAATTCATCGTTGGAATATGTTAGTATAAGTCACCAGTGGTATTCAGACCATTTACTTCAGTAAAAGTTATTTTACCACACTGTACAAATACTCCACTAAAGTAAGGGTTTGGCCTTCAAAACTTTTTACTCAAGTAACTGTTTTTGTTTTCACTGGACACGAAAAGGAATGAAAAGATGTGATCTGAAATGCAACTAAAGCTTTCAGACAAATGTAGAAGAGTAAAAAGTACAATATTTAGAAGTATAAAGGTGCATAAAAAGTAAATACTGAAATAAATCACAAGTACCCTAAAATTGAACTAAATGTCTATGTGTAAAAGTCTGCCAGCATTCACTAACTGTGAACCTTGTTTCCTTTAGGTAGGAGAGGATGGAAGTCCCTCACAAAAAAGGCGAGTTCTTCTGTCATCAAAGCACTTGTTGCTGTTTTACAGAATCTCTTCATCTGTGTAAAACCTCTGTAATTACGGTAATGCCGACGAACATCGCATTACGTCGTGATTACTCAGGATTTAGAAATGAATGAGTGATTTGGGATTTTCTTCTATTCTGTCAGGACTTAGATAAGATGCTGGCTGATACCCCGCCTGTTTGGAAAGGATCATCAAATTTGTTCAGAAATCTTCGTGAACGAGGTAAAGTAACCCGCTCCATCTGCTCCAGCTCTACACAAGCACCCATTGACTTTAAGCTATTCCCCTTTATGCTTCTATTCTTTTTAAAGGCCTTGCACAGACTGTGCTCTAGTGGTGCGTGTCAACCTCGTATATATTCCAGAGCAGTGAGTGTGTTGTAAATACTATCTCATCTCTAAATCGCTCCGGTAACATGTTGTCGATTTATTCTGAGGTAACCTCTGCAGGGAATGGTCCATTGATTATATGCATAATGACCCTTCGCGCTTTCTCGAATAAAACATGTGATAAGTAAGAAGTTTCCTGCAAGGAACTACGTAATTTGGTACTAATTATTGGGAAATTCCTTGAAAGAAGTTGTTCATTTATTTTGAATGCTTTATACTGTATACACATTGTATTGTATGTAGCGTGACTGTAACAGGCATCTTTGAATGTTGAGCTGAGCTGTTAAAAGAAGGTAATTAATAAGAATAATTAATTCAACAACTTCTCTATTTTCCCTATAAATTATAACAAATTGTAATGTATTTTTAGGAGATTGGAAAATATTCTAAACATATGGATTTAAAATGGTGATAATTAGACTTGAGTAAAGTTTGCACATTTTCCATCACAATGAAGACTGTTAGAGCTGAAACCATCAGATCTGAATCATTTATTCAATTAGTCGATTGACAGAAAACTATTTGGCACCCAATGCACGAAGGAAAATGAAGTTGTTAGTGTGAGTGAAGATCTTTTAAAATGTTCCCACCTGGGCCTGCACACTCCCGCTCAGTATGCCATATGAGCCAGTGGAGCATCAGATCTCACTGTTCTGCTCTCTCCTCTGTTGCTTTAGCTAAGTGCCAATGCTGGGATTTGGGGCTTTTAATCCTGCTGTTAAACGCTGTGGCTTTGTCAGGGGGGGGGGGGGAAGGACTGGATTGATCTGCGAACAAAGCGTCGCTTTGGAGAATGAGGGAGCCGTTTGAACCCGACTATGTCGAGACATGTCCCACCGGCCACCCCCCTGATCACCGCGGACATTATGAAGCCTAAGAATGGCATTGGATTACATCTCCGGGACTGCCACTCTGTATGAAGTGTTGCTGTGGAATTCTTTGTATTGTCTAACAACATCTACTTGAGCTCAGAGGCTGAGCTACAGGGAGGCGGAGGAGGAGGAGGAAGGGTGGGCTCCCTCCAGGAGAGTGAAGTTGTGTGGTATTAGAGAAACATGGCTGGAATCTTAAAAGTTTTTTTCTCTCTCTCTCCTCAACCCATTTAAGCTTTCAAAGGCTTTGAAGCCAGAGATCTGTTGTCATTATAAGGCCGTACCTGCCAAACAGAGAGAGCTGGGATGACAAGAACTTTTTTTTTTTTCCAGATGAACTTTGTCTAATGGCATGCATCACTAATTCTCTTTTCACACCTCAGTTTGAACACGTGTTTCACTTGCCTTTACCTCCACTCATTAACAGCCCAGAGACCCAAGCTAAAAAAATGACATTTTTTTTTGCTGGTGTGCCCCCCCCCCCCCCCTTGCAGCAAACCCCGTACCTGAATTCTTTTCCCATAACACCCAGAGCAGTCACCCAGAACTATCTGCGCTCGATTCTCTATCTTCCCGAGCAAACAAAAGCTTGGGAATGCTTTCAGAGTCAGAGGGGAGAAGCCTCCCGAGTCGACCGAGATGTCTCCTGACACTCACTCTTCCCTTCTCCGTGTCACACAACAAAGGCAGCTGAAGGACGCGACACAAAAACCTGAATCGGCCATTCCCAATCAGTGACAGATCACTTGAGAGTGTATTACACCTTGTTACCCGAACGGGATCAAAAGCCGTGGGCCTTAAATTTGTTTGGGTTTGTGTCCAGATAGGTCAGCTCAGTTGTAAAGCCTGTGTTTGTGTGAGGGGGAACACCGAGCATGAGGTAAAAGGCACCTTTTAAGATGTTATCAGTGAGGGCAAGAGGATTACTCTTGTCTTACGGCGTGCACTGTTTCTTTGGATGGCTTATTCTTCTCGAGCGCATGACTTTGAACATCTGTAAACACCCTCAGCTTACAGGTTAATGCCATCGCATGCCGGCTTGTGTGGAAAAGAGGTCATTATAGCTTTTAGTTTGTCAGCTTGACAATTATTTTGTTCTTTTTTTCTCCAGGTGTCATCAGCTACACAGAGTATCTCTTCCTGCTCTGCATTTTAACAAGCAAGTATATATTTGAACTGACTCAAGGAGAACTATCTTGAAGAGACTTAAGAGACTAAAAAGGTGACTATCCATTGTAACTCCTTCTCCTTTTGATTTCAGAGCCCCATGCAGGCTTCAGGATCGCTTTCAACATGTTTG